AGTCAACTCTCTACCCTCCACGCACTCACAACGTAGGACATGGTCGAACTGTCACGGCTGAGGGAGACACGCGGGCGAATACAGGAGCTAATTATTAATGGGGAGCGAGGTTCTTTTCGGCGAAGATGCAACACTTGTCCGCTGCGACGGATCTATCAATGGATCACGCCTCACACAGCGTTGTGGACCTACTCTCCCATCCGCCACCTCTCCCTCCCGATCCTCCCTCTCCCCCTCTCTCTACAAAACTGCTACTCACTCTCCCCCACCCACCCGCCGCCCGCCCTCGGGCGTGGTGCTCACACCTCGTCAATTCCCGCACTTGGGAGGCTAAAGGGTGGATGCGTCCCGCAGGTCAGTTCGAGCAACCAACCCTGGCCAACATCGGTGACAACCCCTCGTCCTCTATAAAACCATACCAAAATTAGGCCACGACAAGCCCGGTGTGCTTCCCCCGCCTATCATTCCAGCACCTTTCGCGAGCCGAGGCGAGGCTGGGCGCGCCACAAGGCTCAGCAGATCGCGACCATCCTTGCGCTAACACATTGCCACCCGCCATCTCTTAACCTAAAAACTCACAAAACATTACGCAGACCTGCGCGGCGGACGCCTGTAACTCCAGCGTCTGGGAGGCGCTGAGGCAGCGCAACTGGCTAAACCCGGCGAGGCGAGCTCCCGTCAGCCACGAATCCCCGGCCCCACTGCCCTCCCACGCCCCTTCGCGCATTCGACCAGCCACCACCCTCGGTCCTCCCCAAACAACACACAAAAAAAAAAAAAAACCAATAGCCAGGACGCCTAACGCTCTCGCCCAGGCTGCCTGATCAACCACGCACCTCCGCCCCGCGCGCAGGAAACGCCCTCGATACCCCAGGCAGGCTTAAGTTGCACGCTGACCGGCCCCCCCCAGACTCTCTCTCCAACCCACCCACACCACCCACTCCCGCGAGCCGCTCAGCCGCCCGCCCCAGACGCAGCAGGGACCACCTCCGCTCACCCCTCCCCCCTGCACACCCCCACCATCTTCCTGCGCTTCAGCCCCCCCCCCCGCGCACCCCCTCCCTCGCTCGCCCCCCCCGCCCCTCAGCCTGGGCTCCTCACCGCCCGCCCCTTGCCCCCCCCCCCCCCACCTGGCCTATACCCTTCTCCTTATCTCTTTTCTTCTTCTTTTGATTCTCTGAGACGCGGACGCCCTCCTGCCCCCTCCGCCTCACCCCAGGCTGCAGTGCACGCCAGATCTCCCGCCACGCACTGCGAGCAAGCCTCCCGCCTCCCCGCGGTTTACCCGCCCATCTCCCTCCCTCGCTCAGCTCCCTCCAGTACCT